TGTACCTACATCCTCTTATCCAATAAAAGCACTGACACTCCACATTTACTCTCAAGACTGACTAATACCTACTATAAAAGAGCTGTACCAATGAGAAAGTATCTCTTCACTTTAATATTTTCCTTTCATTTCAGAAATGGGCTGAGTCACATTGAATAGTATTGGTTAAGACCACTTCAAGTCCTCCGCTGGGATATTTGAGGTTGCAGCTGTTTGTGATGTTGTGTTTTTTAATGGAATACACATAAGCATGATTCTGGCAATGCACAAGGTTCGATTCCTGTGCCGCAGATGAAATCACTATACAACAATGTAAACTACAATTGTTTAAACATATTTAATAACTTTACAATTTGATACCAAGTTAGGTTTTATTCCAGTGACATTATCATAGTTGTTGAATACAAATTTTGCACATGCGTTTTTATTCATCTGGATATTTGTTCATTTTTCTGTGCAACATTTGATGCTGTGGCAAGGCAGAGCACAGCAAGGCAAAATACTTGAAAGAATAAATGAGGTGCAGCCAAAACTACAACACAGCTGGACGCTTTTGTCCATGGAGAAAAAAATAATTTTCCTATCCTTTCAGTGTCGGATTTCATTTAGTAAATATTGATATTGAGTGAAGGATTAATGCTGTAGTGGTTGTAGGCAGGCCGTTCTCATTTGCAACTCGTCAAATATTGCTGCTTTGTCAGTGATTTTGGTGTCAGACACCGACGCAAAAAGGCACCTTTTGTGGCTATATGATATGCCACCGAGCAGTGTAAGGGGCCGAACACATGCTGCGTTTTTGCGGGCTCAAGCGACAGAGCGACACCGTTGCTACACACTTATAAACAGTTAAGTATTTAAGGTTGCTTAATAACCTCAGACACAACCTGTCGCCGCGCTCTTGAAAGCTGGCTCAAAAGAAGCACAAAAGTAGCGCCCAGTGCTTGACCACGTTTTCTCGGCGGTTAAAGATGACCCTAAGTTTATAATGCTACCCAGCGGTGTATCATAACACCACAAAAAGTGTGTCAGTTTGAAACACCGTCATTGACAGTGTAATATAAAAAGTTGGAAATTCCCTTTAGAGCGGGAGGGAAGGTGGATGTCTCAAAGACACCCCGGACTTTCACCCAGGAGGCCCGCTGTTTGCTTCCCTGTACAGGCTGAGCCAAACCATGATGTTTTTTCCAAACTAAACATGTACTTTTGTTGCACAAGGAAATAAACATAAATATGAGTTGATGTTCTGAGTTTATTTTGAAAAGACTGTGTGCATCTAATGAGCAGACACTGTCCATTTCCTGTGACATGGAAGTGTATTTCGAAAAGACACAATGCATGTAACAAGCGTAAATGGACACAGTGTCGCAGGAGGATACCTAGCACATCAAATGTAGACGTGAAAGTCCACTGACCAAGCAGTGACATTTGACAAGTTGGGATGTAAACATGTTGCTGTAGGCTGTAGAGGCCATATAAATGTTTACAGATGAGAACTTTGATTTGTCACTGATTGGCTCGTTAATATGTGACAAAGTAAAAGACAACATCTAGGTAATTGTGTGATAAGTGTGTGTGTTGGTGGAGAGTTGAAGGCTTCTGCTGGGACATTTTGTCAGTGTGAAACTGAATCTCTGCCCACAGCCTAAAACCACCTACACCAACAGAATGTCAGCATTTTGCTATAGTGTGGCTGTAAAGTCTAAAAAAGGTAACCACATAACAAACTCCCACCTTTTTAAAAGTGAAACATTGTGTGAATAACTGTCTCCCTTTTTTTCTCTTTTTTTGAGTGACCTAACTTGAAGAGGTGACATGTTGCCAGCACTCCTGTCAGTTTTCTTTCTTTGTCACCCTCTGTTGCTGTTCTGTCGTTTTCTGCTCGTGGTGTGACAGAAAGTCATTGTAACAGTGGCAGAATACCGGGCTGGTCCACATTTTTCACATGACAAAGGGTCCGTTCAAGGTTACAGAAGCAAATAAGACACAAATATTTCAATTTTAACACACACTAAATACTTCATTTTGGAATTTTAACACCACTAAATTCATAGCATTGACATATTCTAAACTGAAATCCATGTGTGTGAATTTATTTGTTCTGAATTTACATTTTTCAAATTAAAATGTGACATTATTTTATTTGGATGTACAAAGCTTAATTTGGATGTATGTATTTTTATATATTCACACATTTTTATCTAAAAATTCACGATTCAGAAATTCACACACACACACAAAAACAAACAAACAAACAAATATTCTGGTTGCTCAAATTTGATTGGTCAAATTCATATCTAAAAATTCAAGTTAAAAAAAAAGAAACTTAGACAAATTCAATTACAAAAATTCAATTTGAAAAATTTTCAATTCTCGCTTGAACTTTCTTGGATCACATGACTGACAGTCCGTGCTATGATAGGCCAAAAGTTGGTTTAATTGCCTTCAGGATCGGATTTGTCTTGAGTAACCCGTTGCTTTTTCAAGTTTTTTTAAATTAAAATTTTAGATCTGAATTTGATCGATCAAATCTGATCTACTTGAAATTATTTTTTTTTAATTCTGAAACTTAAATTTTTGGAATTTCTGAACACTAAAAATAAATATATTCAAATTCAGCTTTTGAAATTGCAAATCAAAAAAATTCATACTTTTTTTCATTTTCATAGAGTGCCAAATTGATCACATACATGGTTTTCAAAGTAAAATATTTCAATGCTATGAATTTAGTGGTATCACAATTTCAATATTAAGTATTTAGTGTTAAAAAATATTTATTTGCTTCCATACAAAAAGTTGAATATAAGGTTGTCAGCAGATAATAACCCACTTGCTGTACATTAACCTGCTTATTGCATTATTACTTACTAAACAAATCAATAATTTGACACAAACTATTGATTTTGAAATTATTTTATTGATTTTTAAATAAGTTTATTTATTCTGCTAAGCATCTATGATGAGAACTGCATCATAGCAACACTTGTTCATAGCACTGGCCTGGGATTCGGAAATAACAGACTGTAAAGTGCCGTAATTGACCAATCAGAATTGAGTATTCAACAAAGCCATGTAATAAATTAAGGTGGAGGAAATGCAAAAAGCTGCTGTATATATACTCAAGGTGGTCCAACATCTACACACAGCCAAAGCAGCTGTTACAATTTTGCTGTTGCAACAATCGGGAATCCCTCAGTTCTATGGATTAAAACTTTTAGTTCAACTGAAACAAAGAAATCAGATGAAGAAAGAAATCTAATTGCTTCTTTTAATAAGTGTAATGAGTTTCTACAAGAATCTCACAGCTAATTATGAGCCTGGCAAATTATAGAGATGTGATATAACAAATTAACATAAAATGTCTTCTGTAATTAACTTATCTCGGTGGGTTTATTATCATTGCAAATCGTCTCCATGAACCATCCTGGTATGGTCTATCTCCACCCATCTGGTGCTCCAACTCAGTTAAAGCAAACACTAAGAGCCATTTACAGACTATTTGTTGCAAAGCTGCTTACGACACGGGCTGTGAAATGCAAGCTTTTTGTGTGTGATTATTAGCATGGGCAACCACACAGAGACCTACAGGGAAGCCCAGACTGGAGCTGATAACAAACACACAAACACACATCATAGGCACAAGCACCCCAATCATTTGTATCTTGAAATAGGGATCAAATAATGCCTCGTAAACACTGTAATGAGCGCCGTGATGATCAACAGCTACTCTGTCTCTCTTTCTCCGTCTCTCGTGGTTGAGGGCCCACACTGTTCACAAACAGCCCGACGCTAATTTGGGATGAAAAGAAAAATACTGACTTGCAATATTTTGCTGGTTTACCACAGATTTCCAAGGGACCACACATACAGCAGTGAAGTACCACCCACTCTCATTTGATGAAATTAGGTTAGGAAGGAGCCTGTTCTGTGCTTTCCGCCTTTGTGAGAGAAGAGCTCATGGTGTGGAAATTAAGAGCCTGTATGTGCTCGTGTGTGCGAACGTGTGCATTTGTGTTTGTGTGTGTGAGAGGCTGACTAATCCCTCCACAGAGCTGAAACGAGTTAAAAACACATCAAAGGGAAGCTTAACCTCTGTGAAACCTCACCGGGTTTTCAAGAACAACAAATGATCATTCTCCTCATTGTTTCCAGGGGGACTCTTTTCACCGCTGCGCCGCTGACTTTTCCCTCAGTCCTGGGAGTTTTCAAAAAAAGCCTGTGGTTTCATTTTTAATGACTGCGCCGTTTGCGTTAGCGCGTGTGTGTTTGTGAAAGAATATGAACGTGTGTGGATGTGTGAGTGGGTGCACGCGTGTGTGTTTGCACATAAAAGAAGGGTATTTTTGAGTGTGACATGGCAAATGAGGAAAACCAAGCTAACAAGGACATGCAGTACGACTTGGAATCATTAAAATGTACGACATCCTGACCGGCTATACAACAGCTATGTATGTAAAGAACCAATGAAGGATAAAAAAAAGGGGGGGTTTGAAGACAGGTGGGGGAGTGTGGGGGACAGGTGGGGGGAGACAGCGAGAAAAAATGGCACAATGAGGAAGCCAATTGTGGTCTGAGACCTGCTTTCCCCCAGAATTCTCATTATCACAGCATAACAGTGCTCCTTCTATTTAAGTTCAGATGTTTGCATGCCTCTTTTTCTTGCTGTTGCTTGTGTGAATGTGGAAAAAGTGCTCTTGTTCAACCAGTACAAACATATAAAAAGAGCCACGAGTCACCAGTAGATGCTCATGGAAAGACAGCAGGTCAATTTGGTGCGAGTCTGCCGTCGCCCCTGCTCCAAAACCACATTTCGGATCATTTATTTTGCTGGTTACCAATGTGGCAACATCTTTGTGTGTCCCAGCAGTCATGTAAAACTGTAAAAAAAAAAAAAAAAAAAAAAAAAAAGCAAAAAAAAAGCATAACGTTAACAGGTAGCATTGCTAGCCTGTTGTGAAGATTGCTGGCATACTGACAGATGAAATAAAAACGGGGAGGACCGAGGTACGACCACTTACAAATGCATCTGTTTTTATTTTTCCCGTTTTTACAACGCGGGGGCTCGAAAACAGCAACAGAGAGAAATCAATAAATAGTTTTTAAAGTATAAAACAAAATATAAAACAACGTCTACGACAATAAACATCTAATATACTCAATCACACATGAGCACATGCTCACCCGCAGGCACTTACACAGAGACAGAAGCACGCAGACACATAATGTACTCGCACATACAGACACACGGCCACAGTCACCGCAGTAGATGCAGGACACATGGCGCACAGCTGCGGCGTAATCAGAGACTGTGTTACAGCCGTCCACATCCACATCTGAGGTATGTCTGTGGATACTGATGATGTGCCATCCCTCATTTATCCAACGCACAACTCTCTCTTGTGCAGTGTGAGACACATTCATCAACACTAAAGAATTTGCAGTTAGTCACTTGTTCTGTTTAGCTCATTTGCCTATTTAAGTTGAGTGAAATTGATTATAGCTCATCCGAAATGTCGGAATTTTTAAATAAGTGCAGGCAAAAAATATTTTAGTGCTTAGTGCTACAGTCTTCTTGCAAAACAAGATCATTATTTGAGGAAGTATTTGCTAATGTTATAAGCTACCACTGCTCAGAGCAGGATGCAGTCAATTGCTTTTTTATGTTAAGTGTCAGATTTTAAATCTGTAAAAAAATATGTGTTCTTGGAATAAATCTCTTCATGGCACAGTACTCGAGAGTTGATTTTTGATGATTTGAGGGAATTCCATCATTCGCTGCTTCTGGAGCCGCCCTCAGGCAAAAAGCACCCTGGGACTTGACTTTGACCTGCAGGACATTAACCTCATACTGAGTGCACTCCCTGGTGAGGAGCTGGGGGTCAAGAAGTCATGACAGGTCAAAGTCTTCAGGGGGCTTCATTTGTTCAGATCCCGGTTTGTCCTCCTAGACCGAGCATCTTCCAGAGAGGTGGTGGGCCTAATCCAGAACGCTTCACCCAAAGCCTCGGACTCACCTGGTCTCCCCAGCCCGGCTCTGCTCACCTTGGTTTGGGTTAGAATCCTGTCGTGGGTGTCCGCTGTCGCTGGGTCCAGGCTCAGGGGATGAGGGAGGCAGAGGGATGAGGGTAGGGAGGTGGAGGGAGGAGGTGGGCGGACACTGAGAGAGAGGGGGAGGTGGACAGAGGAGCACTGCTGGGATGTGGGAGGAGGACGCATGGACCTCTCCTCCTCCAGCTGCCTACGCAACCGCTTATTCTCCCTGCCCAGGGAGTTCAACTGGAGAGAGAAAGACAGACACATTGAGGGAGACATATGCACGGAGGAAGACAAAGAGAATAACAATAGTTTTAAAAGAAAATCTTCACGTGTGACTGTGAAACAGAAGGAGCAGAGAAGAGGGGGGGATATTCAGCGAAGTTTCAAGGAAGTTATAACATTACACCCGTTTAGTTAAATCAACCACATTACAAACTTAATTTGAAGTTGCCAATAAATATCAACCATCAAAAGTCAACAGCTATCAAGTTGATGAAGTAGCTGACATCCCATTATGTGCTTAATTCATCTTTCACAGTTACTTTCATGCCTGTTGACACAGAAATGCGAGTGGAAAATTGCGAGGGGGGTTTTCGGGAGAGCATTGTGTTCACAGTTTGAAATGGTTGCAAGTGGGAGTCATGCGACGGTGTAAATTTCTACATGAAAACAACCAATTTGAGCGATCATTAGAGGTCGATTTGACACAAAATCATCCGTGACACAAAACAAATCGCACGTCGTCAGAACATGATTGGGCTCCCTGAAACACAATTACAGACTAGCTAAATTGAGGGTGTTTTATTTTTTGACGGGGACATTTGGGTAAAGGCGGGGAGGAGTGTGAGTTAAAAAGTGGCTTTAAATGCAAAAAAAAATAAAACGCATTTACATTTGGTGTACAAGCGTGGTAATTATATGCAAAATGTGCCAGTCTAAAAATTGTAATAAGGCAGATAAAAAAGAATAAAAGATTTGAAATAATGTATTTTTAGCGATGAGCAAGAGTAAAATAAGAAATTAAAGGATGGACAGACAAAGAGACACGTCGGGTAATGACAGTTGCACTCATCCACATCTGTTTTTTAGTGCGTGTGCGTCTGTGTGAACGCTGCGGTTCAAGAATGATGTCACATCGACATGTCTGGCCATGTGTGTTCGTGTGCATATATGTGTGTGTGTGTGTGTGTGTGTGTGTGTGTGTGTGTTAGGGGGGAGAGAAAAACACAAACGGAGATGAGACAGACACATTTCCGGATGGTTCTGCTAACATTACCCTTCCAGACGCACTGCACACACACACACACACACACACACACACACACACTCAATAAATCTGAGCAAATGTATTACATCTCATGACTAGAAATAGCAAGGTCTTAGGCTTAACCCTCAAAGAGCCAATGACATGTCGATGTGTCAAAACTATCCTAAGACGCTTAAAGAGTATTTACTATCTTCAACAGGCAAACATCCCTCAACGTGTTCATTTCATGTTGTGCCAAAAGCAATAGAATTTCCAGATGAAAAACACTGAGGTTGACATTTGTAATTAACCGTATATTCAAGGGGACCTGTTTAATTTTCCTCGTCTTTGGTGGCTCTGGATGCTTCCCTAATTGTAAAGGGGGGGGGGGGGGGGGGGGGGGGG